ATAGATAGATATAGGTATAGATATAAATTGTAAACAAGTCTGTTCCCAGAAGGTAAATGTATGGTCTGCCAGGGGCATGACTTTATAAGTAAACCTGTTTAATTCACAAAATCAGTGAAATGCAGTCATCACGACCACAAATTAAGCTTCATTTCCCTATATAAGCTATTACAGTAATAAATGTAACATTTTGAGTACCACCTGTTTAACAACAATTTTTCTTCTACCATGTGCACGACATGGATAGGCGAATAAAGTAAACAGCTCTCTCAAATACCCATTATCATTTGTTGAATGAGAAAAATAAAAAGTCTCTTGAGAACAGAACTGTGAACCGAAATAACATATTTAGAGACTTTTGGGGGCCTAAGTACATTCCTTTAGCTTTGGCCTATACATTTTACTTGGACAGTTTGTAGACTGTTTTGTTGGGCCATGTTGCTGGTGTTTGCAGTTGAACATTGGATTTTAAACAATGTGACTAGGATACAGTACTTTTGATCCCAGTTCCCAGTCATGCGAGATTTCCACTGCGGTGATCAGGATAGGCAGCTTTCAAGGAAAGCTCTCATTGATCCTTACCTCTTAATATCTGTGACCTTGTATATTGCCTTGTCCCTTCAGTATTAGCTTGTCATTATTTATATGAAAAAGATACAGAGAATGGAATGAAATGCTTTACCAAAGCATGTGATTTACATATTGCTCACATTCTCTTTATTGGTTTTTGTTTTATAGCAGAAGTGTGGATAAGGGAGAGGCCTTAGTAAGCAGGTGCAGCCAAGTAAACATTTCATTTAAATGTAAAATAAGGGCTCAGTCCTTCAACAAATATTACTGGCTTTTGTTTTGATGCTTTTAGCTAACTATGTGAGAAATTACATAGAATGCATGTGTGTTTCAGGGCACTAGAGTACCTTGTTCTATCTAAAATGCTAGTACCAAACTCACAAACGTTAAAATGCTGCCTTAACTCTAGGAAATTGTTTTTTGTATTCAGGGCTATGTGGGAAACTGTGAAAGTGGTGTGCTTATAGTAACTGCTTTCTACAATCTATGTTTCTTTGTTGTATATTTAAAGTGATTAATGTACTGACAATTGCTTTATTAAATACTTTTGAGTTCATGTCATTTTAATTTTCATGTATTTTCACCCATGTAAACTTCTGGCTATTCTGTCCCATCTATAAAACTGGTTATCTATGTTTTTGGGTATAGCCAAGTTCACTTAAAACATTCCAAGATGAAGGCTAATGGGCTTCAGGCATACATGGCACTTACAAGCAAAAGCATTAAAGTTAGATAAAATAAACATTATATACGATTTAATGTGTAGAATGTAAAGGTTATATATGATTAAATCTGTTTCTATGTGTCAATTTTCAAATGTATGTTTTACTTGCGTTTACTTATAAAGAAGCAGACACTCACGATATTAGACAAAATGCTTTTTGGTTCACATAACTTCACAGTGGAATACTTAAATCAGTTGGTAAGACTAAAATGTCTATAAACTTGTGGCACCCTTTCATGCAGTTTTTTAGCCAGTCATGATAAGATAAAAAATGATTCTTTATAAATGTAATGTCTGTTGCTGTCTGTGTATAATAATTTAAGAGTTTTTCATTGGTCAAGTATAATATATGATA